AAAAAAAAAAATCAGTACCCTAGTCCTATCCCCAGCAATGCAGCTGCACAGTAGCCTTTAAAAATAATAGCCTGCCAGGATTCTAGGTAGAGCCTGGCAGTCTCCAGAGAATGACATGGAGTTACACCTCTTTCATTCCCAAAGAACTGTCATTTTTTAGACCTTTTGTGGCATTTCCTTAGAAGATCCCACTTAAAAGAGTGGCTGTATTTGACCTCTGAGTTTGTCAGTATAAAAAACCTTCTCCCCTGGGCAGATGTTTGTCAAGAACAATTTTACAGATAAGTGTTTCAACTTCATGGATGCCTGAGGCAGTGAATAACAGCTGGAGCAAACAATAGAATAACAAAAAGGGTTATAAGAAAAAGCCGGGGAGTGAGATGTCATTTAGGGTTTGAAAAGCTCCCACATGATTCTATAAATCCAGAAGGCCATAAGAAAGCACAGTAGGGCTGTGCACATTCTCAGGAAATACTAGGGAAGGTCCTAAGCTTTCACCTCCAGCTAAACTTGCAGCATTTTAACTAGGAGAAAGTGAAAGCTAAGGAGCTGTCAACTGCCTTAGTGTCGGACCACTGTCTCAATGCACAGACTCTAAGCAAGGAATGGGAGATTTATTTGTTCCAGTACAATCATTAGCTGACCACTAAGGTAAGCAAGTACAGATGTCAGTGACCACACAATAAAAAACAGACTTTATAGAGGTAATTCAGAAATGCACTAACAAATGCTAATTACCAAAATCAGCAACAACCACCCTGAGAAGAAAGAAGAATTTGATTTTCAGTTGCCACATTATTCAAAATATCCATTTCAAGAACAAAAGTACAAGGTATAAAAGGAAATGCGCAAGTATGGTCTATACATTTTGGGGTTCGAGGGGGGGGCAGTTTCCCAAACTCAGTGACCTGGTTCCATTACTTGGCTTACCTGGTTCCATTACTTCAACCGAGGCAAAACAAAAGTGAGTAGAAACCAAAAATAAAACTGGACAGGCACAGGCAGTGTGGATAGAAAGCAAAAGGAACATATACAAGTTTCAGGGTAACAGATCTTATTTAGGAGAACAAAGAGAAAGATAAGAGCACTCTCAAAGAGACTTGGAAGTCAGTCTCTCTCCTAAAAGAGCAGAGCTGAGAGAGAGACAAGACACAAAGGTCTGCGGGGGTATTAGAAATAACTCTTTCTATTTGAAAGTGGATGCATGTTTCTCATTTGCCTCTCTGCACCTTCAGGCAGTACTACCATTGTTTATTGGTCATTGATTGTCTCTTTCTATTGATCATCGGTTATCTAGGTTATTTCTATCCATACTCTTATGGGCCCTCCAGACTTCCTGGTTCAGCAGGCCAGGTTTTCCTCCTGCCCTCCTTGAAGTCTCCTTTTTGGTGTCCCTTCTCAACACAGGAAAAAAAGCAATCAATATCCACAGTCCCTAGGAAAACACAGATGTCAGACATACTAGAAAAAGAATTTAAGTCAGCTATTTTAAACATGTTCAAAGACCTAAAGCAAATCATTTCTTTAGACGTGAGAATGCATGTCTAAAAACATGACAACAATGTCTCACCAAAAAGAAATTCTGCAATCAAAAAGTACCAAAACTGAAGTAAAAATTCATTAGAGCAGCTCAACAGCAGATCTGAGCAGTCAGAACAAAGAATTAGCAAAGTTGAAGATGGGTCTGCAATCTGAGAAACAGAAAGAAAAAAAATGAAAAACCATAAACAGCGCCTCAGAGACCAGCAACATCACAAACACACACACGTACCAGAAGAAAAAATACTTAAATTATGGCCCCAAATTTGACAAAAACCATTTTCCTACACCTGGAAACAACATAATCAAACCACCAAAAGAACTCTGAAAGCACCAAGAGATGAGCAACTCATCACATACAACAGATCACAGATTATTGGTTAAATTAACATTGATTCCTCATCAGAAACCATGGAGGCCAGAGGGCAATAGTATAACTTTTCTAAATACAAGAAGAAAAAACTCAACAAGAACTTTATATTTGATAAAACTACCTTCAAAAATTAAGGAGAAACTAAGACTTTTTCAGAGGGAAAATCAAAGAACCCATCACTAGCAGACCGACCTAGGAGGAAATCCTACAGAAGGTTCTTCAGGCTGAAATCAAAAAACACTAGACAGTAACTTGAATCTACATAAGAAATAAAAGGCACAGGTAATGATAATATAGAAGTAAATATAAAAACAGTATAAATGTTATTTTTGTTGTAATTTTTTTCTCCTACCTGATTTAAAACATAATAAAACAATAATTACAAATCTGTCAATGGGCATGCAACATAAAAATATAAAGATATTGTTTGTGCAATAATAGCACACAGAAAGGGGACAGGATGGCACTATCTAGAAGCAAAGTTTTACAAGCTACTGAAATTAAGTTGGCTCTCTTTTGAAGTAGATTCTTCTAAATTAAGATGTTAACTGTAACCCCTCAGGCACTCAAAGGAAAAGAACTCAAATACAATAGAACCTCCATAGTTGACCACTTCCTTAAGTTGACCTAATTTTCACAAAAAGAACAAGCACCACATGCACAGATCACTACAGTAGACCTAGTTCCTTATGTTGACCAGTTTGTTACAGTCCCTTGGTGGTCAACTTATAGACGTTTGACTATATAAAGTAAAAGAAATGAGGAAATTAAAATGTTGCACTAGCAAATACCCACTTAATACAAAAAAAGAGCATATTGGAGGCCAGACCCAAGGGCCACATACAATTCCATAGAAAATAGACTGACTACTGCTTGCCAGAGATGGAAGAGGTGGAAAACATTATTGAGTGACTACTAATGGGCAAATGGTTTCTTTCTGGAGTGATGAAATGTTCTAGAACTAGATCATGGGGGTGGCTGCACAACCTTGTGAACATTCTAAAAACTATTCTACTATATGGTTTAAAATGGTGAATTTTGGGCAGCGCCTGTGGCTCAGTGAGTAGGGCACTGGCTCCATATGGGGGGTGGGGGTGGGTTCAAACCCAGTCCCAGCCAAACTGCAAGAAAAAATGGCCAGTTGTGGCTGGCACCTGTAGTCCCTGCTACTTGGGAGGCTGAGGCAAGAGAATCGCCTAGGCCCAGGAACTGGAGGTTGCTTGAGTTGTGATGCCATGGCACTCTACCAAGGATGATAAAGTGAGACTCTGTCTCTAAAAATAAATAAACAAATAAATAAATAAAATGGTGAATTTTACAATATATATATTATCACATTTTTAATTTTCTGAAAAGACATAGGCAAGTTGCTTCAAACCTCTCCTAACATCTGTCTACTAATTACAGTGACTACAACCTGAACCAATCAGAATATGAGACATATATTCTTCCTTAGCCCTTTGGAAATAGTCTATGTGGTATAGATCTGTTCTCTACCAGCCTACCGCTCCTTGGCCACTGCCTAAAGCATGATCTTTTGAAAACTTTATACAAATCTAGAAAATAACACAACCAAAAAAGTATGATAAAAAACTAACAAGTTTTGAACATTTCTTCTCAAGATAATTACATAATTGTCATTTTATAATTATCATTAGTTAAAATTAGGCTATTGTCACTTTTTACAAATGACAGCTAATTACTAGTAGAATTTTAATAGAATATATATGGGCCAAAATAATGAAAACTAAAAAACAAAAAACACAGATAGTCCAAGCAGCAAGACAAAAAAAGACAGAAACAGTCAAGACAACAGTAATAAAAAGACAGAATTAGAACTAATCACAACAGTATAGCCATGGCCTATGTGACAGACTGCACATACAATGATGATCTGGTAGATTGTAAGAGATGCCCTATGCAGGTGTATAACTTTTTATCTTTTATATAGCATTTTTACCATACCTTTTTAAAGTTTACATACAAATACCTACCACTGTGTTGCAAATAGTATTTAGTACAGTAACATACTACACAGGGTTTGTTGCCTAGGAGCAAG